CTTAGCTTTTCTTTTTTCTTTTTTTGATTAGATTAGATTTTGGCGCGCACAGAAAGCTGCGTAAGTGCCAGTTGCTCGACATACCTGCGTGGCCCGTGCGACGAATAACTTCTCGGGATTGGCAAAGTTTCAGTTACAGAAAATTATACAAAAAATCTAGACAGATTTAAGCTTACATCTCGTCTAACGTTTAAAGCAACAATTATATTAACGCTTGCAACCATTATGTTTTATACGATACCTGCGAAAATATTCAGTACAACTTCCGCTAAGATTTTCGCGGACAATCTGATCGATTTTTCTGACATTGTGCGCTGAGACTGAAACTTTTCACCTCGAGAAAATCTCCGTCGTACGGCCCAAGCAATCATGGCGAGCAACTGAGCTTCTTGTATGTGTCCGTGGTAGAACACACGAAAGGACTCTAAAGCACACTTCACTCTGATTGGGCAGAAAAACACAAAGATTTTCTCGCACCAATCAGATGCCAGAACGACTGCGACCGTTTGGAACTAGTCTTGTAAGACAATGTCCCCAGGGACTCTTCTACCCAAACTTGAAATCGACTCACGGCCCCTGGGTCTCCGAGGATGGAAAGATGCCTAAGACTCTTAGGCATCTTTCCATCCTCGGAGACCCAGGGGCCGTGAGTTCCTCGAGGCGCAGCCGAGAGCAACTCTAGCTTCTCGAGTCCTCTTCAAACTTCCCAAGTGCTTCAAGTCTCGATGAACGCCCAGCTGACACATAAACCAATTGTTTTATTACATTTTCAAAGCTGTAGTTTATGTTTTAAGGGCAGAAATACTCTTCCCTACGCTTCAATGCGTTGTTTATTTTGTTTCGGAAAAGTGTTTCGCTATACTTCAATGATCTTGTCTCAGATTGGTCAAAAACTGACAGATGAATTCATGCGTGATGTTGAAGTTAGAGTTGCGAAACGAGATGAAACTGGCGTTGATTGTTTTGTTTTCCCTTTCTCTGGGTTCTTTCTCGGGAGTTAAAAAATCCATTCCCAAAGAAAAAGTGGGCAGATCTTCATCGGCCTGTTCCCTTGTTGCCATGGCTAGCTTGACTTTTTTGCGGAAGTTTTTCCCGTCTTTTAATGCCTGAAAAATGCTGAAGTTACTCGCGAGAAAAAATTTTTTTCGCGAGGCGTTTGTTTGCCAACATCACCAGCGTGCACAAGGGAAAATTGAAGCACGCTCGCGCTATTGAATTTCATTGCCCGAATTTGCAAGCTATGTTCTGACTGCACTCTTTTTTAGTGTGAATGCCATGGCTATAAAAGAAGCCCGAGTGAACGCTCCTCGAGCGTCTAGTTAGGTCTGAAAGGTACTTAGGGGCAAGACCGTGCAAAATTTTATAAGTTCTTAAAAGTATCTTATAATGTATTCTGGCGCGCACTGGTAACCAATGTAATTCGGCAAGCAGAGGTGTTATGTGGCACTTAATAAGCACTTCAGTATAAATTAATGTTGATATTACGACAGTTTTCCTCTACAATCATTTGCAGGTATTTGCAGCTATCAAAATGGATAAGAATCAAACTTTTTTCATAAAGAATACAATGTTTGGGTCCTGTTCTTTCCTTTCGATACACTAGGTTTTGAAACACATAAAGATCACATTCAGGAGTGGTCGGCTAGGTCTTTCACTTTCAAGAGCAATACTTGAACTCGCAAAGAGGTAATTGATATTAACTCAAAACCAAGAGACTTAGTGGAATTTTTCAGCGATTCCACACCACTTTTACGACTTATTTACAAACTGGAAAGTAAAACAGCTACAATGGAGAATTATAGGTCAGATATTATGAGATCACTTCTCCACTCTGTTTGCCGTGCATTGCTCATAATTTGAGAATTTGGAGCTCAATCAGTCAATAACCCCTAGAAAACATTTTTCTTTCCTCTCATCAACTTCCTGCTGGAAAATGTGTTGACATTGTAAAGAGAAATTCTCTTTTTTTCTCACTTTTTGCGGTGAAAGGGTTCAAGTTGTTTCGTGTTTCATATACTGGTTGGACGAAACACCAAAAATAAACACTGAACTAGTATCGATGTTCTTCGGAACGGCTATAAACATAAACTTGTCTGGAGGTCCTTCGTAACGGTTCTCTAAAACACTCTACTCCTGAAATATAACACTATACAATGACAACTGAATTGCGGACAAGATTATTCCACAGAGTGTCACCAGGTCGCATATGTTATGCGACAACAATAGAAGTTATTACGTCATTGTCTTCGTTTTACAAGTTCTTGAACACCTTCTGCACAGGTTTTTGTAATCAACGTCTTTTTAACATATATGATAAGAAAACTATTATACCCTGCATATAGTAAGTAAGGAAGGCTATACTTAATGATAATTCACCTTCATAACCTGTTCTTGATCTAATTGGTGTGCTTTTCTAAGATAAAAAAGGCTAGGTACAACTTTTTATGATGTTCAAATAATGTTAGAACTTTCTCTCAGTTTTGTCATCAACCTCATTGTCTCGTTGAATTATACTCAGGTGAAAATTTAACTACACCATGTGATGGGGAAAGAGTGCCGAAAAATCTAACATTCAGAATTTTACCCGTTTTAATCGTCATGTGTTGAGTGTGGGTAGTTGTTAAAATAGCTTATCGCGCATATATTTTCCAAAAATCTCCTCGTGATGGCTTGCTTTCGTTTCTTTTGTCATCGCAAAGCCAGTAATTCTGCTCGATATCCCAGTGATTCTTGTTTGGAACGTAGGCCAAATGATCGACTAGCTTGTTTTTCATGCGCGTGTGACCCCATTTCCCATCATTCGTGTTTCCCCACTCATGACACATCACAGAAAGGAAAGAATTATCCCCCTCTACTCTCTGGAAAGAGTTGCATGAAAAAGGTCGCTCAATCGTCTCACCACTGAAGTACTTGACCACAGCTTCACCAGAGCTGTTAGCGACAGTGGTCACGTGGAACGTGCGTCCTAGTTGTTTGCTGCAGTGGAATCTCAGCTGAGTGAAAGACAAACGCTTCCTCAGTTCGCTCATGGCAGTATCGGAAAGGGACATCTTAGAGTTGTTGTAGTCTTGTATTCCAAGGTATGATTCCATAGACGTCTTCCCCTGAGGAGTGGAATCCTCAGCCACAAAGTTTGCGACCAACAGCCAACCTCCTGAAATCAGGCAAACTTTATTGTGTCATCATTTATCGCCTGAATGGTATCGGAGGATTTTAGAGGGGGGGTGGGAGGGAGGTCACGGGGTTTTCATGAGGAACTGAGGGGGATCAGGTAAATGCAAATATTATTGAAAGAGAGTGACGAAAGGATTAAAAAACGCATGCAAAGGATTAATTAATAATTGTTATGGAGAGTGCCCGTATTTTCTAGAAAGCGTCGTGTTACAGAATTACTAAAATTAGAACTAAGGAAGTTTCTAGAACGCTTAGTCATGCTGACTCATAAAGAACTCTTAATGGGACTTTCTAGAAGCCTTAGTCAGCATATTTTGTTATTATGCAATACAGATGTAATGATATTAAAAATAGTTGTATTACAGATCCCTGGAATATTCAGAACATTGGTGAGAAGGCACACAGGGCTTGCATTGTAAGTATCTCTGAGAGCTTCATACAACTCCTTCTAATAAAATTGTAAGGAATTGTATGGAGCTTTTTAGTATTAATCGAGGCGCAGCAGGCGTCTTCACCTATGATCCTCGCAAGGATCATACATGACAACACCCGCTGCGCCACGACTAACGCTGAAAAAGTTCCATACAATTCCTTATAATCAAATCATAAGGAATTGTATGAAGCATTCCGGGATACTTACAGTGCAAGCCCTGTGTGTCCTCTCATGTGTAAAACATATATAAGGAGTTGCGATCGGTTAAAGTTAGCCTTTTCTTCAGTGAGCTTTTTCTTCAGTTAATATTTCCTGAGAGTCATTTTGGACTGCCAGCGAGCCAGAGAGCAGAGCCAGTGTATTGTGAAACTGTGTGTTGTCGCAGAGTTTCAATAGAGTTAGTGCTGTCGCGAAGAGCCCAGAGAAGCTAGTGTTATTACATAGCTGGACTAGAGAGAATTGTTGGAATTATTTACTGTTACTGGAATCGTCAGCTGTGTGCAAGGCTACGTTGAGAAAAGTTTTGTAGACATCAATAAGTTACAAGGATCTTGGAAGAGAACTGTGAGTTTTGCAGTAGTGCACTGAGATTATAGTTTTATAGAGGGCTCTAAGATAAGAGTATAGTTATTGCATTCGTTATTGATATCCGGCACTCCGTAGTAAGATTATTACGTCAGTCAATAAAGTAGTTGAGTTTGAACGAATTGTATCTTTCTGTCGGTTGTGAAAATACCGTAACAAAATAAATTTGAGACGGATCTGCGAACTCTTCACAACTCGAAAAATCAAGTGTATTTTTCAGGCTTACAGAGTTTTCGAGTCTCAAAAAGGATTCAACAACCGTCGGCTGATTGCTTTGAGAGCCCGTGAATCTAGCAAATATAAATTCTGGCAGAAATTACCTTTTAAGAAACTTCAAAGTTATGGTTGTTTTCATGATTATCAAGCTTTCAAAATATGTGTACATTGATGGGATTATCTATGCTTGCTCGTGCATGAAAGCACGAATTCTAAATACTGCTAATCCTCTCTCTATGACACCTTTAACCCTTTAACAGCCATGAGTGATCAAGACAGAACTTCTCCTTACAATATCAATACAAGGATCGTGCATCATACGTAATATCAATACAATGTCAAGTAGACAAGTGATGAGAATAAGGAAAAAAGAAAATCAGGGAATTATCAGTTGATCCAATATCAGCTTCTCCAAACTAGTATCATAAGAACTGTATGGCAGACAGTAAGGAGAATTGCTAATGAGATCCTAGGAGTGAAAGGCTTAAGTAACTTGACCTTCTATCACGCGGCTGGGTTCATGCGGGGTGGTGCATTAAGGTTGGATGTTGCTACGCGATTGGTTTATCAATATTTCAAGAATCCTTCATACCTCCATCAGTTGTCATGTCACAGTAAACTTTTAAGGGGTCTCCGCTGTTCTCGAGGTCGATCCAGTACTCCCCGTTTCCTTTCGATGACCCAGTATCCAAGATATGTTTACAAGAATTTCCAGGCTTTTCTTTAACGTGACCGAGGATCGCTAGATGCAACGAATCATAACGGAAATATATATGTCAGGCGTGAGTTGCGCCTAAATTTGATTGGTGTCCTCAAATTA